GGCAGTAGTTTTTCGGCGTCTACCAGTAGACTTTCCTGTAGTCCGATGACATTTCAGGATTCTGGATACGGTACATTGGGGGTACCCTACTGTTCTGGCAATGTCCATTTATTTCATATCATTTTCAGACAGGCGAACAATTTGACGCCCTTTAACTTCTGGCACGTGACGAGGCATGACTCTACAGTAAGTATAAAGAAACTGTCTGAACAATGCGTTGATCTGTTTCGAAAAACACTATACCAAAAGCACACCCTTTTATACAAAACAAATGGGTATGTGTGTATATTGACGAAAAACAACTTATACACACCAGAATAACAACTCGTACATGTTTATCCGATCATACGCTACCTTCTTTGTTAATACTCGAACATTTATTCAATAACTACTCCGTGCATGTAGACAATAACATGAATATAGAACAGCATGCAAACATTTTGGCCAAGACTGTACATCTTCGATGAAATTTGTAATCGTGATTGATTATTGTATGTGAGTAAACACGCACACACGTACTCACACACACAGATATATATGTATAGGACAAAAATGTATGTAATATTAAGTTTGATTATTAAAACATACGATATGTACACATTCGTCTTTATTTACATACATGTAAACATACTAGTGTGTAATGTGTATAAATTGTGAATTCTAAGTTCTCCTAAGAACTAGACCAACAATATACCACTGCCAAGTACCATTTCTTTCTAATGGATAAAGATATTTCAAGACTAAATCTTTAGAATGATGTCGGATAAAAAAAGGAAAGACTTGCCATAACTATGCGTTTCCTATAGTTGACTCTTCTAGGAAGTATGTGGCGACTATTTATTCATTACCATGTGCAAACCTTTGATAATTTTAGTTGTTTTACAGTTTGTACAGTCTTTAATATTTTAGTTAGCTTCAACTTGTAACCAGATACTTTGGAAATGCAGCTGAAACAAGCACTATAAGAACCAATCTATGCCTCACTCATGGTCTTAACAGAATTCTTACTGTCTTTTTTCTTTTTTGGAGGCAGAAGGGGGGAATAATTAATTGCTTTCATTCAAAGTGACCACTTTGGACACTTTTCTCGATTTGACCTTGGCTATACACTATTTTTAGGAATGCTTCCAGGAAGAACTCTCGGTTTACACTTGTGCTTCTTATATTCCTTGTGTGTTGTGAAACTATGTATTTTATTAGAAATTTCATGAATTCATTACTAATGTGTTGGGCCTGTTTATCCCTTACAGTGATCCACAGTGACAGTTTGCATCATTATACTTCGCCTTGGGGAACCACTTGTTATTTTATAGGAGTTCATGATTATCACATATACTGATCCACACTGACAGTTTGCATCATAAAACTTCAGTTGATATTTTATAGGATTTCATATATATAACATATACTGATCCACACTGACAGTTTGCATTATTATACTTCAGTTAATATTTTATATGATTTCATAATTATAACATATACTGATCCACACTGACAATTTGTATCATTGTACTTCGGCTCAGGGAACCAGGTGTTATTTTATAGGAGTTCATAATTATCACGTATACTGATCCACACTGACAGTTTGCATCATACAACTTCAGTTGATATTTTATAGGATTTCATATTTATAACATATACTGATCCCCACTGATAGTTTGCATCATAAAACTTCAGTTGATATTTTATAGGATTTCATATTTATAACATATACTGCTCCACATTGACAGTTTGAATAATTATACTTCGCCTCAGGGAATCAGTTATTTTATAGGATTTCATAATGATCACATATACTGATCCGCACTGATAGTTTGCATTATTATACTTCAGTTAATATTTTATAGGATTTCATAATTATCACATATACTGATCCACACTGATAGTTTGCATTATTATACTTCAGTTAATATTTTATAGAAAACTTCATAAAAAAAAAACGAGTATAAATATCCCGATAATCGTCCGTTAACACTATGTTTAAGTTAACACCTTGATTTTACATCTTTTTTTTTATTATTTTCTTTGTATATATTTCACTACGTCTTTGCTATTTGTTCCAAAAAGTATCGTATGTCCAGGACGTGCCTCGGAAAATCTTGTGTTTCGTGATCGGACGCTTGTTCCTGCTCGAGTTGAAATAGGCATGAAATAAAAAAGGATTGTTTGTTTGTTTCTTGTTTAGCGCAAAGCTCCACAATGGACTATTTGTGCAGTGTCCATGGGTATCGAAACCCTACTTTTAATGTTATAATTCAGACTTACCGCTGAGCCACAAAGGGTAAAACAAAGAAACAAAACGATAACAGGTATGTTAAAATCGACCAGTTACCAGTTAGTAACATATTTATTCTTTGTCATTTCACTTTTATGGCTTCTTGTAAGTCTTCATGACTCTGTCACGGCATTAAAGAAGGAGTAAAATAAAACGCTATATTCGCTGATAACTATTTTTTTAATGTAAGTATAATATCAGCACTTCAATAAGCACTACATCTACATTATTGGATAAAACACTAACGGTTTTACTTTCAAAAACGAACTCCTGCTTGACATAACTACTGTTAAAAAAACTTTCGCAAAATTCGTTGTTTCAATACAGATATAAGGTGGAAAAATGATATCGTCTTATGAAATGTTCTCGCAGTGTTCATGATTGGATAGAAGTGCCTTGGAGTTGCAAAATATGCATAACTTCTTGTGTAAACTTTTTAAACATCAAAGAACTAATAGCACTTTGATGAGAGAACTACTTCAGAAAACTTGTCGTGTTATATTACATCAAGTTACGACTTAACAAGCTTATTCAGTAAAAAAATAATAATAAAGATAACTTGAGCTGACCCAAACTTTTGGAAACACTGAGGTTGTCTTTCAAATGTTGTTATTTACTTTAGCATGTCGCGTGATAGGAATTTGGTTATTTGTTTAACCTTAAATTTTAGTTTTTATTAATTATGCCAATTTTGTACAATACTTTTTTAACATAAACCGTAAATTTTCAAATTAGATTTTTATCACCATTCTATGTCTGACTATTTCTATCTGCTTAGGATGATGAATGTAAAAGTTCTTTTTTCTACATTAAAAATAGTGAAATACAAACTAACATGTTTGCTTAGGACCACCTATAGGACTGGTGCTATTTGTTAAAATAAGTCCAAGGCATTTTCAGAATAAAATTGGTAGGAAGTCCTTTAAAATATAATACATATGTATACTCTTAAAATAATAGAAAGTTAAAAACAGAAAACCTCGTTTGTAAAATCGAGACTTTACCTTTTGATCGAAATCTAAGGGCTAACTTTTAATGACTTGAGTTTTGTTTTTCCAAAAACAATTTTATGTAAGTAAATTCCTCCCTTTCTCAATAAAAAAAATATGAAAATGTTGGTTTTGTCAACGAGTGGCAACGATGATAAAAATACTTTGATGGACTTTAGTTTGAAAAGGGAATGTGATATGGTCACAACACTTAGTTAACGTTTGTATCTAAAAGTCAAAAGATGTTGTGAGCAGCAGTCATAGCAGAAAAATTGTTTTTTTTTAATACTACATCGTGATGTATTTCATAAATAGACTTATTAAAAGCGAATAAAGCTGATTTCAGTAAAAGACAGAAGCTCTAATGTAGATTTAGCTCTATGAGTTGCGCAAATTTCATCATTACATTTCATCTCTGGAAACTAGCTAATTTTTTGTATGCTGAAAAGTGTAAGAAAATATGAAAGTTCATTTTCAGTTTGCGAGCTTTAGAGGATAAATTTACATATTTGTCTGGGTGACTTTGATACGGCATCCCTTGTGGCTTATGGAAATAATACGAACCGTAATGAATCGTAATGAAAACTTCTATTCAAAGCCAGTGTCTTTTTTTTTCAGGTAACTCTACATTAAATAACATAACAGTAAACGAACTTTAACATTTCTTTTGTCTCTCAGATAGACTGCATGAACATCAAACTTGTGGATAGGTTGCACGAGTACTCATTGTTAGTTGGATTCTCGTCTAGATTAAAAAAGCTAATTCATGTTACCGTAAGCATGAATAAAATTTACCATGAAAGTTGGAATAGATAAGTCACACAAACAAGCACCGTATAAGTCACACAAACAAGCACCGTATAAGAATCGTGTTTCTGTGTATGATGATTATAGTAAAATCTCCGGAACTTCATCTCTGTATACAATTTTAACTCTACTCTAGCTGAGGGTACGAGTGAAGGAAGCAAAAATTATATAAAAGACAGTGTTAAATAATATTGTCCTTTATTTTGCTATCAAATCTCTAATGGTCTCATTAAATGCAAATTGAACCCCCTGCTTTGTGAAAGGTAATAATTGATTTTACTATTAAGCACTTGTGTCTTTAAACTCAAAGCCTATAAAGTCTATAAAAAAAAGTGGAAATATGCTCTATTAGCAACCGGAATGTGGATCGACTGATCCAGGACTCGAACACGCTCGGAACTTTTCACTGTGACAGTAAATCTTGTAGCACCGATTGCTGGTAGCTGGTTGTTTTGTTCCTGAACAGTAGTTTCAAATTAGGAACAGATATACCTAAGTCCTAGATATTAAATAAACAACTCGCAGCAAAGCTACACGAGAGCTATCTGCGCTAGTCGTCCCTAATTTAGCAGAGAAAGACTAGAGAGAAGGCAGCTAGTCATCACCGCTAACTCTTGGGCTACTCTTTACCAACGAATAGTGTGATTGACCGTTACATCATAACGCCACCACTGCTGAAAGAGCGAGCATATTTAGTGGAACGGGGATTCGAATCCGCGATCCGCAGACTGCGAGTCGAGCGCCCTAACCACTGGTCATACCAGGCCATTCCAGCTGTTAGTATCTTACTTGTTGTTGTTATGTAATCAGTTCGTCATAGTAACTGTCAGTAAATACAAATGTACTTTCTGTAATGTAGCTACACACAATATCATATCGTTCGTACATGTTGCAATTAGTAATGACCGATAAAATATGTCCCGTTACAGATCGGAAAATAACACGTAAACGTTATTTGCTCAACCTAATCCTTATAATCCTTGTTGCCATGGAAACAGTTAACAGTCAAGAATTCGAGGATTACTGGAACGAGTTTCGTGTGCTGGAGGAAATAATACAAAATTACGATAGTGACGAGTTTTATGATACCTCAAAGCCACCAGAAGGTAGATATTTTCATTTTTCCTTGAGAATAATTTCAGTAATGCTGGGTATTTGAGAGAGGAAAAAAATTATCTGTTTATTATTTTTTGTCTAAAAATCAAAGCACGTGTTCCTGTATTCATTTTTATTGATGCTATACATTATCATGTGATGTGTAGTTATTTTAATGATCAATATTTTAACCAGAATAAAACATTTTGCCTAATTTATCGAATTTTCCCACCCATTATTATACAATGCATCAATATATTTATATAATAGTTTAAAAATAAATCCGTTGGAGAAAGATGATCTGTGGTATTTTCACTATTGTGAAACTATTGTCATATATTTAATTTAATGTGATATATGTATTCCAAAAAGTTAATTAAGGTGTTCTAAATAGTTTTCATAGATAAACGATAGTTTCTTAAATACCTTTTAACTTAATCAAATTAAGAAAACCTCAAGTTCTTGCTTCTGTGTATTATGTATGACCAAGTTTACTTTATGCCAAAATATCTCTCTTCCCTCCTAGTTTTCAAACATGCGTCCCTAATATTTTGATAAGCCTCAGATGTTCTCAGTACTTTACAGCGTATACCACAAGAGGATTACCGATGCAACGTTTACTTGAATAATGTCAGCACCGACATTTGTTCAGTTTCATAAACAATGCATGACACAGAAAATCGTCTACTGTAAACGCTTGAGAAATTCCATGAGTCTGCATCCCAGTGTTTGGTTCAGATTCTTAGACAATCCTCTACTCAAGTTTTTGGAGGTTTTGTAAGCTTCACGTTCATTCTATGATGCAATACAGTAGCTGCAACACTAGCTACTCAGTATGTTTGCATCACTTTTCCCTCCTTTACCGTGCCAATGACCATTTTTTTCTGAGAGCTTAGTAGCTGAAAGCCTGTAGTTACAGCCCAGCACTGAAATAATATCAGCACCCAGATAGATAGATATCCAAGGAAATGCAACTTGCTTTTCAGACCGAAAATGGTGTGTTTCATGTGTTGGTTCTATCACTAAAGCAGGCAGCAACAATGTACTAGACTGTGTCTGTTATACCCCATGGAACATTTGCATGTTTCAAGATATCATCACCCCATTCTCAACATAAATGCATGCAGCCCACTGATCTTCGGCCCAGTGACTGACATTGGATAGTTTTACCGCAGAACTGCTGTTCACTAGTGAAACTGGGTGACCATTTCCACAATAGGTTCATCTCTGAAACCAGGTTGGAGTACAGAATGCACACATTAGAGGCCCTGAACTATTGCACATGAAGAAACACACAGTGAGATATTATTTATTTCATGTATTTGTTAAATTTCATTTTAATGTGGATAATCGATAAATTACTCCACATGCAGAAAGCTATCGATCTTATAAAATTCATTAGTACCCACAAAACGCTTGGATTGTTACAATAATTACGCACATTTGGTGTGTATCTGTTTGGATTGTTACAATAATTGCGCATATTTTACGTGCATCTGTTTGGATTGTTACAATAATTACGCACGTTTGGCGTGTATCTGTATGGAAAGAGAGTTTTTATATTTATGTTACACAGAATGATAAATGAAAAACATACATGATTATTATGAACAAGTGATTTACTGAATTAACACAGAAAAATGCACCTAGGTTGAATCTTCAATTCTCGGATTAAACGTCTACTTAAAATTACGCTGTAAAAAATGGTGAAACTTGCGTTATATACTTATTTTTTAAAAAAGAGAAAGAGTGGAGTTAAAATTTCATGTAAAAATTGAAATGATCAGGCGGTGGAAGCTAATATGACGTTAAGTAGGAGGGAATTAAGTGCAACGTGAACCAACTTGTCAGCAGTACGAGATCAACCTTCTTATACAAAATGCTACTAATGCATGTCCAGTACAACAAACGTGCAACAACACTTAAATATTGAAAATTAAAACTGGGAATATATCACACGAAAGTATTAAGAGTTTGTTTTATTTGGTCTTCTAAAAAAATTTTAACTTTCCAACACTCCCAAATTTGGACTTAAAGTGTATTAGATTCGTGTCCCATGACATGACTCCCCCGCTTATATGTTGCAACATCAATTTATGTATTGCACTTGTATATACACATATCTGGCAGAAAACATTCTGGTAAATGGGCTGACTTTATTATCTGTTGTATTAACAGAAGGAGAGAATGAAGCAGACTGGTTACGAGATGCTGGATTTGATGTTGAATCCTTACTAGAAGAAGGTAAGTGGATATGACAGTAAAACACAAAGATAATTATTCGAAGAAGGTAAGTGGATATGACAGTAAAACACAAAGATAATTATTCGAAGAAGGTAAGTGGATATGACAGTAAAACACAAAGATAATTATTCGAAGAAGGTAAGCGGATATGACAGTAAAACACAAAGATAATTATTCGAAGAAGGTAAGTGGATATGACAGTAAAACACAAAGATAATTATTCGAAGAAGGTAAACGGATATGATACGCTATCGAATGACAATAAAATATAAAAATGATTTTATGGGAATTACAAATAAGATCAGACATTACAGTATAATGTAAATAGTCCATTAACGCACAAAATATGCAGCATCAGCCACAACGTATTATCTACATCGCTAGTTATGACTTCATAGTAAAGGTGATTCAGTCAGATGAGTTATCTTCTATTTGTTTATTGGGAAAATAAATATAAATGAAATGATAAATTATATGTACACAAGAAGAACGTAGAAAAATTACTCTTTGAAAAATGGACAATTAAAGATCCTTCATACGATGAAAGAACAAATATACCGAATACTTACTGAATATTATGGACTAAAATAATTTACGTAATCAGTCACGTGAATCTTTGGTTAATTTTTTATTTATCTGGCTACTAAATGTTTTTAGTAACAAAATGCATAATTAAGTTGTATCTATTTTCAGTTCAACAGATACTCTGAAACTGGATATATTCAATAATTTTCGTAGTAATCAAGTCTTTCGTTTAAAAACTGTTCTTATTTTCACTCTTTGCTGTTGTTCTTTATGAATAAACTACAAGTAACTTCTGCTTTCAGTTAATTGTTGTGTTTGTGAAATACACCCGAATATGATTTACAGCTGTTCATGAGACACTGAAAATTTTACAAAGCAATAGCTTGTAAGTTTCTTATTTTGAATATATTCATAGGTTCGAATTTTAATAGTGTATTGTTTCTTTTCAAAATGTGTTAATCTCAGTACAATTATTGTCTGATACAAGTGCAATATATTTTAGTAATGATAATTACAGCAAGATCCTCACAGTTATATACACCTATTGGGTGAACCTTGAATTACTAGAACAATCAAAACGGTTTCTTTGTAAGTTAATGCAATACTGTTATCGTGTGTAGCACGGATTTATTTAAACAAGTAAATTCTACTTTAAATTAGTGTATTACAATGCACTGTATAAAATATGCGCTGTGTTTTACTGATTTTGAAAGTTTTTGAAACGATACTAGTTCACTGTACTTATCATATCATTCCTAATCTGAAAGCAATTAAAAATGATTCAGTTTAGAGCATATACTATTGAATTCCATGTACAGTCTTAATTCATATATTAGCACAAAGTTTGAAACTTACTTCATAAGTAATATAGGGGTTGGCTCCCTAAAGACACCGATTGTATAGTGTACAAAGCATTGAGTTTCTATATGTTACAGTAATCTAATGTTCGTCTATTATTGGCTGGTAAGTTCTATTTTACCCTGTACTTAAGATTTTTAAAGGAACACCAGATATTTATAAGAAAGCTAACTTGAAGTGGTAATAATAACCTCGTTTATACTAGAATTATGATGTTTTTTAGTTTGCGTAAAATATAGAGAAACAAATCGTATTTTCAATACCCCTACGGCCTTCGCAGTACCTTATTTAGTATTCTACAAAAGGTTTGAGTGCAATATACCAAGCCGTTTTAGGCTGGCAAGTAAATCTTATCATAATGGAGCTTGCGATGTATACGTCCAAAACTCGGATCTCGGAAACTACCACACCGATCATTACCAATCATAATTGGGTAATATTATTATAATTATGCAGTATTTTTATAGCTGAGCAATAAATAAAACAATTGAAATTTCCACAAAAATGATATGTTTCAGATCTAAATAATGAAAATTACAAAAAAAGGAGTAAGTTTCAAATATAAAACAATCAAAAAACAAACTTTAAAAAATTATTTGTTTTTCTTTAGTGAAAATCTCGTGTGTGTTGCAATATAAAAGCAAGGCACTTTCATTGATAATTGCGTTTACGAAGAAATACTTAAGTAAAATCTACTTTGTGATGTAATTCTGTGATGATAACTCATTTTTAAATTAAAATTTCAATAACATTATTTTTCTTATGGATGGTTAACATTATTGAATGTCAAGTATGAGTACATTCCTGTAGAACTGTCAAAAAATTCCAGAAAAGGCCGCAGACCCAATAGCCTTCTGTAGGAACTAGCAGTTATACCTGCCCAGAGGGCAGATATTTCAGCTATTAATAATAATAATAAGAAGAAGAATTGCAAATTTTGAGCGAATTTTTTCCATTGTACTTTTATCATGCGTGTTTTTTTTTTGTTTTTTTGCATTTTTATATGCGTACAGCCTTATCAGTCAACAGTAAAGGTTTTAAAGCGTTGTTTGAACTGAATCTTTACTGTTTAAGGTGCTTTTTGCCTGAACGTTCTATTAGGATTTAATGGTTCATGATAGGGAAGACGAAGTCTTGAGGTGTTTCTAAATTTTACACAGCTAATGCAAATAGAAAACTTATCAAATATATTTCTGTGGTACATGTCTAGCGATATCTGTAGATATCAGAGTCATATGTTGTGGCAATTTGCAGCTATAAACCAGGTGACCTATCTCAAGGGTTGAAAATGTTGTGGTTATCGTTAAGGGAAGAGCCGATGATAATTATCTATAAGTTTTGAAAAATCGTAGTATTTTAGACTAATGCCAAGAATTCTAAAAATTTCTTGAAAAAAATAATTGTTCATTTATGGATTAAAATACCAAGGGTATAAATCTTTTCAAAGTAACACTTGTATGTAAAATTTAGTTAATTCGGTGTAACCACTAATTTCTGATTAGAGTGAACGTGAAGCTGAAATGAAGATAATAATCCTTTTTACCTAGTCTGATTGACAATTTCTAAAGTGAAGAAGTAAATAACTTAAAATTCTTAACTCCATCCTATTATATACTAATCACATAAATTCTATCTTTTTTTTTGTTGTTGTTGTCTAGATAATGACTATTTAAGATGAATTTGTTAAATTTACCGATGGGCTGAGTTATAAAGTATTACAAGTTTGTTTGTTGTTGTTGAGTGCAAAGCTACAAAATAAAATATTTGGCTTTTAGACACCGCAGGTATCGAATCCCAAATTTTAGCCTTAAACCCTCAAACCGTTTACCCACCAGAGAAGGAGGCGGTACTGTAAGAAGAAAAATAATAAACTTAAAGCCATAAATATTCACTTAATAATGCAATTACTTTAATACGAATTATTTTATTTGAAAAAAACACTATATCAACTTTTATCAGGAAGTGCTGTATCACTGCAAGTAAACACTGCTTTAACATTGTGTCTTCCATTGAATTTTAATGAACGAAAGATTAGAAGGAATAATCCCTTTTATCAGTTCTAATTTTGCAGTGAATTACTGATACAAAAAATATAGCCCCCAATGGCACAGCGGTATGTCTGCGGACTTACAACGCTAGAATCCGGGTTTCGATACCCGTGGTGGGCAGAGCACAGATAGCCCATTGTGAAGCTTTGTGCTTAATTACAAGCAAACAAACAAAACAAAAGATATAAATAATATTAGTGAATATATATATATATATATA